GAAAGTGAGTCATTACTTATTTGAGACCATGTTTGAAGTGCGAGATTTATTGAGCACTTTAAATTGTAGAGAATATGTATAGACCCACTTTCACTCGTGTTTTGAAAGTTACTTTTCGCTACACTACAAAGAATAATTATTTCCTTCATTACAAAACTCGCCTTTAATGTAAATTTAATATTTAATTTAGTTGCTGAAAATTTAAACAGTTGATAAAACAATAACAAATATTTGCAGTTGTTGAAGGGGAAATTTTCGGTTGTAAACAATGTTACTTTTACCATTTACCATTTACCATCCGGTGTCTTCTCCACAATCCAGGGATCGGGGAATCGTCAAACTTCTTCCTGATCAAACTTCAGGGGAATGATGGGTTTGTAGGCCTATTCACGTCTCAGGTGTTGGAAAGTGTGCTCCACAATAAATTCGAAGACTGTGTAGTATGGCCTATCTGTTAAGTATTGTTTTAGTTTACTATTGAAGGTGACAGGTTTTTGATGGTTTTGAGTTGTGGTGGTAATAAATTGAAGAAGTAAGAGCCAGAGTAGTGAGGACTATTGTTGAATTTCTGCAATCGATGTTGTGGCAGGTCTATGTTATGTGTGTTGCGGAGGTTGTATGAATGTTGTTCTGATCTCAGGGTAGGTGTCGATTGTTTTGCAAGTGTGATGGATTCCAACAGGTACAGGGATATAACTGTAAGGATTTTGTGTTCTCTGAAAATCGGCTTGCAATGTTCATGATTTGGCAGTTGAAAGATTGTCCTTATGGTCTTCTTTTGGATGGTGAGGATGCGTTCCATGTTCCTGTCCGCTGTGGATCCCCATGCAGCAATGCCATAACGCAAATGTGAACAAAAGAGGGAGTGGTAGGCTATTAATGCTGTAGGTTCATTGGCGATGGCTCTAATTCTTCGAACAACGTGGTGTGCAGAAGATAGTTTCCCACAGAGGTAGTCAACGTAGTCCTGCCAGCTGAGATTTTGATCGACATATATTCCGAGGAACTTTGTTGAGCGCGATAGGGGTATGCTGAGGTCATGCCAATTGCCACCAGATTAGTTTTTGTTGTTAGGAGTAAAGTTTACGAGGACAGTCTTAGCTTTGTTGATGTTAAGTTTCATAGAATTGCACGTAGTGGTTGCGCTGTCAATTATTGTTGAGTTAACTAGGTTACTATTGTCAATATGATGGTTAGTGGGTACTACTATGGTTGTAAACAATAGACAGCTGTTGAAAATATGATTTTTCGCAGGTTGTAAACACATAACGAAAACAGCTCAACTCATAGTAGTGTAGTGACAAATTCTTGATTATACTTAACATCGTATACACTGAACACAGAAATGAAATTCCCACTTGCCTGTCATAACAAAAGCAGATTACAAAATCTATTTTATGAACGGGTAAACAAATAAAGATACTAGTAAACGTTGTTAAGATTTGTTCAAGAAAGTGAGAAGGGTTTAAAATTACAACAGATATGATCAATGTTCTGCTACATTTTCACGGTAAGTAGATTCTCCTCGTTTCCACCACTCCCTTAAATTATACTGAAAGCTATGTAAATCTCAACTTGAGTAAGGCGACTTATTTTGCATTGTTCCAACCACGCTCAGTTTTCTCCTGGTTAATTTACATTCTTTCTTCTACTTTTTGTCTGTGATAAAACGTGTCCTATCTGATGCCCGTAGAAAGTGACCTAGATATTAGGGCTAGGCTCGTGTTGTATACTTGAAATTTCCCAGAATAAATACTTTACAGATAAGTTGAATATCTTAAAGAACAGTTTTCTTACATATCGAAATGAAACTAATTGGAAAATAACGTGATCTTAGCTGTACTAATTTAAGTATTGGAATATTGGGTATTTACGTTTTATGCCGACCACACCTAATAATTATAACCTAACCTAACCTTACCATACCTTACCTCACCTAACCTAACGTAAGGGTGGTTAGGTTAGGTTAAGAAGATTTTCTTATTTAAACCAATTTTCTTATTTAAACAATTTGAAATTATTTGGAAAACGATTTATCGGTGGGGCTGTTATAATACGTAAGTACTGAAATATTGGTCCGATCAAAATGAGTTTAATTATTGAATACTCTTAGATAAAAGAAAAACGCCCAATCTATAATCCCGGACAGATTCTTTTAATCATCAAAAGTAGACAGGAAAAAAATTATGAAGAAAACTTCAGGAGTAAAGATTTCGTAGAAAAAAAAAACATATTTACATACTTGTTTCAAACAATCCCATGAAACTATGACGATTAAAAATACCCCCGCCGCAGCAAACCTGCCGTCTTAGCGAATTTCCATTTGGCTGAATTAATTTTCAATCCATCTATTTAAATAACATTAGGTTTAACGAGTACCTAGGTTTGCTGCTACAAGGAAACTAATAAAGTGTGTGTTTTAAGTAAAATAATTATTGCTTAGTAGAAAATGAATATATTTGCCAAGTTTGATCAAAAGATATCCATAAACAAGCAAACTACAACATTTAACAATATTCTCCATAAGAATAACATGGGAATTTTAAATTTACAATTTTTTTAGTTTTCTCCGTAACTAATAACTGTACAAAAACACTTTGATATACTGAATTGTTTGTTTTTTTAAGCTCTTTAAGAAGGTTTAGAGAAAAATTGGGAAATTTTGTGTTTTGAGGGTCAAAAGTGAGAAAAACCAATTTTTACCCCATAAAACCCCCCATAAAACCCTGTTCCCATGGTCCGATCATGCTGGATCGCGAACTCATTCAAGTTTATCCCGCCTTACACCTTCAAACCAAATTTCATCAAAATCGGATAAAAAATACTCAAGTTATCGTGTTCACGGACACATATATATATAAATCTATATATATACCTATATATATATATATATATATATACATATATAAAAATTTGAACGAATGGTGTTTTTGTCCTCTGGGGACATCAAAATGAAAAAGTAAATCGGTCCCGGGCCTAAGTCTTACCATGAGACCTACGGTAATAGCTACTTCCCTATAGGGAAATTCGCTAAAAGGAAAACTTTAAAACAATTTAAATTTCAGCACAACATTATATGAATTACTGATTCATAATGAAAACGATAAACTCATGAATTTCAAAACCTTTTTGTCTTTAGTACATAGAAACCAAACACGCGCAACCCAAACTATATCTCTATAATTTACCTTAGAAATACACTTATCGATATACAAAACGTAAACAAGTATGGTTCCGAACTAAGTTGCAGTAAAATCCACTCAGCACATGCGATAAATAACTTAACTGTTAATCAAAAACCACACAGCGGAGTGGAAATAAATAAATTGCAGGGTAAAACCGATTCTGGTTGGGACAGTTCTGGAAGGGGGCTGTTGTCGATTCCCCCCTCCTCTCCTCTTGCCACAATCCCTAGCAAAACCTCCATTTGACTACCAACTCCCCTTTCAAATTTCTATGTTATAAAATAGCAAATAATTTGTACTCCCGTGAAATTAGCATACATATAACACCTGTGTTTACATATCACAATGCCTTGATTGATATTAATTTATTGTTAATGGGTTGATTGATTTTACTCTATAAAAATGGCATGGCGATTTTTAGTTTGCAAAATATAATTGTGTTTCAAATGTGCAATAGCCAAGTGGGTGCAACAGCCAAGTGGGTGCAACAGCCAAGTCTCAATAAAATTTGCATTAGAAACACTTATGTATATTATTATAAAATTCGGTATACAGGGTGATTCTAAATTATTACACTTTTGAAACTCCATAAATGATAAACTATACTACCTATCATCACGGGGTGAGAATCAATTGAAATGAGATTCCAAAGTTTTCTTTAACACCACTTTGGTAAACGTAGTTGCAAGATTAGCCTTTAAAGACATTTTTATATTTTAACTACGGTTTGAAATCAATTACGTAATTAAAAATCTATGAAACTTGCGGCGTAAAAATAGATGATTTCATAAAAGAATTTGAACATAATTGTGTCAAAAACTATAAAAATACTCTATGTGCCCCCTCTGGCTGCACAGCACACGTCCATTCAATGATAGAAGTCGTCCCAAACTCCAAAACACAGAACACTTATAGCTTTTTAAAGGTTCCTTGCAGCTGATAATAATTGCTGACCGCAATAACTGAGCGGTATATTATAGAATTAAATTTGCTTTTAGTGGTATTAGTTGAAGCCTTTGACAATTTAACGTAGAGTATGAAGTTTTGAGATTCAGAGAAGTAAATTTTTGTAATTAATTTAAAATTGGGAATAAAATAAAAAATGTCTGTTTAGGCTAATTTTGAAACTATGTTTAGAACAATGTCAAACAAAACTGTGGAATCTCCTATTTCAAATTTTTTTAACCCCGTGATGATAGTTTGTATAGTTTATCATTTTGTGTTCAAAGTGTAACAATAATTTAGAATCACCGTATTTGAATCGGAAACATATTTGTTCGAAATCATTTCATTAGTCAAGTACTGCGTATCCAACTACGTATGGTGCTCGCATCTGTGGAAAGAAGCTGGTTCGATCAATAAAGAATAACGCCAGACCAACGAATTAAAACTGTGTTGCTGTAGTTCATTGCACAGGACCCAATTGCATTTTTTTTAGGTAAATTTCGCTTGTAAAATCAAGCCATCGTCAAAAGGTTACAATGCGACAGTTTCTTATGCTTGTCATGAACACAAAATAATTTGTAGGAGCTTATAGGTAGTACGTAAAAAATCTAACATTAATAATATTTTTTTTTTTACAAAAGGCTACGTGAAATTATATTAAGACACTTTATTCTCTTTATTTTATAGTAAAGAGAATAAAGTGTCTTATGTTAAACGAGTGAAATTATTTTCAAGATTTGAACACTTTTGACCATGTGTGTTACTTTACTAATGCTAGAGGTGTGTTGCCTGCAAGTCTTTATAATTCTCATTGTTGTAGGTTTATATTATTCGTTGCACTTTATTGATCTGTTGGTTTTTATGTTTCAGATTCTTATAAATGTTAGGCGAACCCTAAGGAGGATTTCAATTCACATAATTTGGTAAGCTTACATGTTAGCTATAACATGATACTCTAATTTGTATACTACTTTCTAAGAAAAATACGATTTTCTTTATTTACTAATTATTATTTAATTATTGCTTAGGAGTACTCTTCAATCGCAAGCTAAAGATTACCATTCTATTTTTAAAACTTTGGTTAAGCTCTAACGAAAGAAGTAACCTCTAATAATAGTCAGAAATAAAGTAGGGGTTAAGTATTTTTCAAAGTTATTAAAAGTTTGCCCATTTTTCAAGATAAGCTCACAGATTGCATTCTTTAACTTGTAATATAACCAAGAGAAAAACTGTCCCTCGAGAACGAAATTGACTTCACTTTTCTGAAAATTATCTGAAAAATTATATCGCAGGGTTGATTTGTGGCAAAATGACTTTATATTTTTGTAAGTCATTGTAGGCAACGTTGTTTGTAAACTAAGACTACATAATAGCTTTAATGTACATATGCTTGATTAAAAAAATAAATATTCTTATTTGCATCTCTGTCGAAGTACGCGAAGTTACATGTTACACTGAACAAGCATACTTTTTACTACACGTTTCGTATTATCTCTGAATTTTGTAATCCGAACGAATTTTATAAAAATTGTTGTGATTAAGTTTGGTCATTAATTTTTGCAAACTGCAATATTACAAGACATTAAGTTGTCAATATTTGTTGTATAAAAATACATTTAAACATTTAGCATAAAAATGTTGTTGTCTTAGTCGAATTTGAGTGTAATACTTTCCAATTATACTTAATAGTAATTTATTTTATAGTTCAATATTCTTTAGAACTTAACAAGCAATACTTACAATTGGTATTTTAAAAACGCTGATGTACTGAAAATATGGTTTGAAAAATAATTTCTTAAAACCCAATTATTGTCGAGAGACACAGTTGTAATACACTTTGTAAATTACTTAACGCATTTTAATATTCATATTACATATTCAAATTAAACTACGCAAATAAATTGATCTGAATTTACTCTTACGAATGAACTATTGTGTATTGTTATTTCATCAGTTATTTATGTTATCAAAGAAAATGCGTATCGAAACTTTAATAAACATGGTTAAAATGTTAGTACGGAGAACTAAAAATTTAAAGCGAGTTTACCAAAGTTTTACAATACGCATTTGCTAGTCGATACAATATATGCTTAATAAAAAACGTTTTTCAAGTAAATTTAGTTAATTTGATAAGCGAAACACTTAGAACAGATGTGGATAAAATGGTAATAAATATAATAACAGCCTTTCATTTATAATGAAACACAATTGACTTACTGAGAAAAATATATTGCCTAAGATACAGTTTTATTTGCATTTTCTTCTTACAAAACACTCATACACTGAAGCGATTTATCGCATGTATAATTATGGAGGATGGAAAATGAAAAGGTGGGCAATCTGCGCTCATCTTCACGGACGATCGGAAACTTTTATTAAACATCGGAATGTGGAAACTTTCCAATATTGACTCCTCGCTGAGATGCAACATTTCCAAGAGTTGATTCTTGCAGACCGGACCAGAGATGGAAAAACACATTTTCTCTTTTTTACGTGCATAGTAAAATAATAACTATTGGCGAAAATATTTGCAATAACGTGTGTTAACGTTTGTAAGACCGTGTAGACCACTAAGTGTAAGACCATTAATTATACATGGTAAATGAAACTCCAAAAATCATCAGTAATAATAAAAACCTTGGATTAAGGAAGGAAAGATACTCTATATATATTTGGTATACTCGCTCATAGTAAGTAATTTCTGAGTGACCGTTGAACAAAAAAAGAACTCTTAAGTATTATGTCAACATTTAAAGTTTTGTAAATTAAAAGTTAGGAGTTTGTATATATTTTAACACGTTTACCAGAGTAGGAGGTTTGATTTATGGGAGATTTTCCGACCGTAAAATGTTCCAAATATGAAAATACACGGGACATTTCCTCCGACCAGATGTCTTTTATAACCTTTGTCAGCGAAATCTGCTGTGGTGGTGCCTACTCACACTTTGTGTTGATTGTTCATACGTCGTTGTACTAAAAACTACTTATTTATTGTATAACTTAATATTAATATCGTATGGATATATTTTGGTTTAAAATTAGAACCCGAATTATTTTGTAATGTATAAGAGCTGTTGTTTTATAGGAGCTATGCAGGATCGATATAGTTACTTTTATAAGTTAAGCATGATTAAAACTCGTTCTAAAGGTTCAGTTTGAAAGTGTGAGGACTGCTGTGTACGGTTCTTAATTTAGTACGTAATATTCACCATTTTAATCCAATCATTTAATGAAAATTATGTGAATGTAAAACAGTGGATGCCAGCGTATACAAACATTCGGTTTTTACTAAAATAGTACATAATTATCTGACGTGCTTGTACATAAGCAAATACATTTAGGTATTGTGACACTGGAAAGGTAAACAATATATTTAGGTACTAAGGGCTTTGTTAAAAAAAATGTTTATAGACCAATCACTAGCTGGACAAATCTTAGAAGCATTTTTTAGCCATTTAGAAAAATTATCATGATGAAAAATTGAAGGAGCCCCCATCAATATATGTAACTACGATAGTTATACGGTAGTTATCGATACGATAGTTATATATTGAAGGGAGCCTCTCCTTAAATTTTTCATCATTCAACTTACCCGCATATTGAACTAAGAAGAAGTTACCAAGAACCTAAAATGAGTACATACTCAGTAATGCATTATGCGAGCGAATACATGGAATGTAACATGTTTAATGATAAAAATAATAACCATTGTATACAACTATAGTGATAAGATAAAAATATAAACGTTAAAAATATATGACAATAAGCGGTGGAAATTGAAATTAATAAATATTTTAAAGTCTCATTTTTAGAGATGAATGGTTGAATGTTGGTAGAACCAGCAACATGTAACCAATAACTTGTGACAGTTCATTTCTCAAATTTACACCCGTCGAATACAAATAAGGCTGTCTATGCGTTTGCATTTCTAGTGTGTATTGATTAGTATTTTAAATTTTCTTACAAACAGTTTAGAATAATAAATAGTATTTTCAAATTATCCACAATAAAAACCCTTAATAGTATTAAATTTAATAAACACTAAACAAATAAACACAAAGATGAAAAATAATCAAATGTATAATGTTTGAAGATATGCCTTTTGAAATTGTAGTGTTACATAAAAATGTCAAAAATCTTAATAACTCTTTACATCTCCCAAAATGATATTCAATTTGTATATACTATCATCTTATCGTGTAACTTAAGTCACAAATATACCAGTTAAAGTAATAAATAACAATATTTAGTACAAGTTTTATTTGAATTAACTTTAGCTGATGAAATGAAATGAAAATCCTTCTTTGTTGAGGCGAACTTAGGAACTCATGGTCCTTTCTTACAGTTATCCTCTACCCTACTACTACTATGAAACATTAGTAGTCAAATAACACAACGATTGAAAAAGATTACTCCTATTTATATCCATCCAATAATAAATCATCTTATGTCCTTAATTTAAAATCGGTACAGAATGATTAGGAGGTTGAGGTGATTATTTTGTAAGATGAATCCCTTGGAAATCATTTGAATAAAAATTCTCGGTAAAGAGGAATATTTATATTACATTATTGAAGATTAATGTAGATAAGAGATGTTTTAGTTCACGTAAATATTACAGTTTTTGACGAAAATAATGCACTTTTTTGTCAAACTGGCTATAGAAAGGACTTATGACTTACTCATGAGTTTTTAAAAGTTAATTAAGGAGTCAAAAACGTATGTGCCATAACAGTTATTATATTTGTATTTCTAAATACAAACTAAAAGGCTTACAAACAAACTCCAATCCAGTATTTGTATTTAAATGAAAAGCTTAATTCTGACGGAGCCTGTTTTACAGATGAAGGGAGATATTTTATGGCAGCATAAGGAGGTGAAAGGCATTTCCAGCCTAGCGGCCGTTTTATTGTGAGCTATGAGGAAGGATTTATCAATTCCAGACGGCTACGGCCACTACTCTCGCCGCAGTGTAGGCTATATACTCCCAGAGAGAAATAATCTTATAGCGAGATGATTTTGTTAAATTAAAAAATATTTGTATGAAATATGTTGACCTGTATTAAAAAATAAATAATTATTAAAGAGAGTGAAAAAAGAGATTTACCATAGTAATGTTTAGTTCATGTTGGTGACACTGAGCACTAGTGTCGACGGAATTATATTTCTATTATTTTAAGGCAAATTTTATAATTTACACTTTACTTTTTGGTTGTATAACCAGGGTACTAGCTATTCTTCAGGATTATATGGTTTTATTTGACCAAACAAGATAAAAATTGTAATAAAAAGAAACAAAATCGTAAACAAATTAAGGGTACAAGGGAAACCAGACGGAACAAACATTAAAACTAAATTCAGCTGGTCCTTAAGGATGATAAATCTACAAGGAAACATTTGTAATCTTTAATATTACGTAATGAAGTCCCATTTATTTAAGAATTTGACAAACAAAAACTGTGTTCCGCATTAAATACATATACGTGGGAAGTCAATGGTGGAAAATACCAAAACTAAAAAAAAATCAAGAAAGAAATTTGAAAATAAAAACCCCAAGCTATACATTGTCTGTTTTTGTTACAGAATGTCTAACGTGTGGCGATGTAGAGCCTTTAACGAGTCGCCCGTGTAACCTGGGATGGACCAAACAATACCATTGCTGGTCTGGTACATGGTTTTTGTCCGATCTGTGTCTGGTAAGTACCTTTGATAATACTACCATATAGATTTTAATGAGTTTTAAAGGAATTATCATTAACTGAAATATAAGTATTTGTGTCCAGACAATGGGAAGTAGTAACCTTCATTTATATTTTTACCTTTGTGTTTGGAAACGTACAAACAGATCTAACACGTAAATATAACTCCGCTACCTTAGAGAAAAGAATCTGAAATTTGTTATCTATCTTTACATGTGAATACATTAGCATTTGATTTTGAATGATCGACCTATAAGGCCGAATTGAATTCCTTCTTATAGTTTGAAAATTTAATAGGCTACCTACTTCTTCTTTTTCGTTAAAATTTAAAATTATTAATGGTAGATTTTAAGAAATACTAAGTCACAATACACAGGTTGGATTATTAATCGTCACTTTGGATACTTGGAATTATTAATCTTCATCTAATAAAAATACTGTCATAGGACATTTCGAATGTGAATAAAATGTGGGATTCGGTGACGTCTTATGTTTTTTTTTTTTTTTTTTTTTACTAAACATAATTATTTTGTCATTTAAGATAGCCAACTATAGACTGTACCATGGAAATTGTAGGGTCAGGAGACTGTTTAAACAGTCTTAAAGGTACTTAAAATGTACTAAAGGTACTAAAAGGCACTAAAATGTTCCAAAAAGGTACTTAAGTTTAAAACATGTGTATCCATAATACAGTCATTAACTAGCTACTGACATGTTTCCTTAAACCTCCATTACAGAACACTTTATTGATAAGTTGGACTGAGTTCTTTTAAACATTGTATTGTGTTGTTCTTTTAAAACATGTATTACCCAATTTTGTATTTTTTTGTGACTGCGGCCCTTTCTCTTTCCACTGGTTCTATTATTCTTTGGCGAAATATTTATTTTGTTTATCGTACAATCCACGCTGAAACACTCTATAGATTCATCTAGTTGAGCTCCAAAGAGACTTATTCAGCTCAAAGGGGACAGAGAGAGTCGAAACTTGCATGTCGAAGCACCATTTACTTTACCGCTTCGGTTCCTAACTGGATGTCTCGAGGCCGTTCAAGTATAACCAGATATATTGTTCTTCCAAATAATATAAAATACTACCTTCCAATCGACTTGATACCCTACCTTTGTCGTATTTCAATAAGTGTTATATTCTGAAGATTTGTTAAGCGATTGCCTTAAAAGGTTATTTATTTATTTCTGTATTTTAAAACGATGTTAGGAAATTTTCTATTACCAATTCAAAATTATCTATTGTAAATCTATCGTAATCTACTGTCTATACTAATTTTTTCCATCGTATAAGTTAAATATTAATCGGTGGCATCTGGAAGCGAACTCACGACATCACTGACTTCCTTCAAAATCCGTCATGCTATTTATGAGTTACTGAACCATGCAAATATAGCATAAATTTATGTTAATATGTTTTGTTTGGTACTATGAAACAAATTAGCAGGTGAAGCTAAATCAGATCATACAAATGGATAGAAAAAACGGAGATGAAATAAATTAAATAGTAAAAACATTTATTAATTCAAATTTGTACTGATGGAAGGTGTTTGTATGGACAAGATGAGTTTCTAAATAATGAAATCGCAATTTAAATAAATATCCCACTTTTTTTTAGAAAATGTAAAGAAGTTCTCCGCAGCTTTAAATGCAAAACATGTGTCTGTGTATTACACAGTGCATGGCAAGTAAATGATCTTTAAACATATCTGAGAGAAATTTGCCATGCATATATGAAAATATATGCATGGCAAGTTTTCGAAAAGCTCAAAAGTTATAGTTTTGAAAAGGCTAGTTCAATGAGAAAGTACATTTGAAAAACAATAGTGTTGAGTTACTAGTTTAAAATTAGTAATGACAAAATTATAAATCTATCTTTAAAAAATCGAATCATAATTCTAAAGGACAAAACGAATCAAGTACGCAAAATTACATCTTAGTCTCTTTAAGTATGTTTCTACAACTTGTACACTTTTATGCTCCTTTTACAACTTTGTTAGTTACCTTTAGTTTTTTAGTTAGTTATTTGTGAGACTTAATATCACTTATGCATGCCAATGGACAAATGTTTCGTATTTGAAGATTTTGGATGTCAAAAGCAAAGACGTACGGATTCCTACTTGAGGCTGATTCGTGGTCGGTATTTCAACTATCAATCAAAATATATCTGACAAAATGTCTCCGTCCCATGCAAATGTCAATCGGTTATTTTATCAGAAACGTAAACTTCTAGTGTACTATTGGGGTTTTACAGCATGCTATGGTCATTCCTGATGAAATTGTAAAAGCACCTATAAATACCGAAAATATAAAATAAAATAGTGTAACGGTTTTAGCTCTCTAACAATCCTTTTTTTTATAATTAGCTTATCCTTAGTATTATTATTTTTTTAAATATAGTATTCTGACATCATCGTTCAATGTTTCCTTTTTTGAATGTACAAACACTATGCTCAATTATTCCAAGGGGGTGAGGTCTTTTCCCAACATCTTTGACTTCAATCTTATGAGGAAGAGATAAACAAAGACATACAATAAAGTAGCATTGGGAAAAATCTAAATGATTTGAGCTTTTAAATTTTATCCCTTGGTCTGTAAATAATTTTTTTTTATTTTTTCCAAAATTTCCTTGAAAGCTACTTTTACCATGTAGTAATTTTCTTTGAATTCATCAAAATTATTTTCTGTTTCATCAAAAGTGATTGCAACTATTTTGCTATGAATGCCTGTGAATTCACTGTACAATCGTTCTAACTTTTCATTTCTGATTTCAATTTCTACAAATTTACTTATGTCAAAATCGTTCACAAAGGTCTTCATTTTTGAGAGAGAGCTTTTTATTGAAGCTCTCTTGTTTTGTAGAAGCCTAAGTTCTTCCATGATTGTTTGTTAAGGTTGAAATGAAAATTAAAATATTCCTTTGGTTTTGATCAAACTCTTCAAAAGGATAAAAACTTATTTTATTTGTTAGGAAATATAATCTATGGATGATAGAAATGTTAGTTTTTTAATGAAAGTAATTATAAGAAAAATATATTTAATGAGAAAATACATATGAAGCCTAATCAAAATCATCTGATAAAACACTGACTACGAGAATTTTAGCCAATTAAATTGAAGCTACAGTTATTTTATAAATTTAACCCTATACATCTTTTGTAATGCATTTTTATTACGGTTGTCAAATACTATCGAAGAAAATGAGACTGTAAATTTTATATGACACTAGTGATTTCTGTGCTCACGTGCTCAATTGACGGTTTCAAAATTGCAAGGATGAAGCCTTATTAAAAAAAAGTAAAGAAGATGTAAAGAAGAATTTTGATAAACCAAGAATCTTACTTTGAGACACCCAAACATGATAGCAATTGTTGTGTAAACAATCACTCGTACACGCGTTAGACGTTACGACTCTGGGAACTTTCAGAGGTTTTCATAACCACACAACCCATTTTCGCAGGCTAGTCAGCTTATGTTTTATGGGGTAAGTTTTCGACGCTATGGCATGGAACTAAACAGGCTCCCGTTGTGGCCTGTCTTTGTCTTTGTTTACACAACTTTATATTTATTGCTGTAATACTTCTCACTAGGAAAGAAGAGAGCTTTGTTCCGATGCTGGCCAATTAAGTTAACCTCAAAAGTACAACATATATGATTCGATAATTTTCATGAATACATTATGCAACATGCCTTGTGACAAATCAGCAACAAATAATTCTAACAAAATTCATCTACTAAACTAGAGTTGGTCAAATCAAAATCAAAATCAAAATTTATTGAACTTTTTATATTAACTTCAATGTTTAAACGTGTCTGTTTGTACTTGTTATGAATATTTTTATGCAATCAAAAATGCTTATTGAACATAGGAGTTGATGGGTGTAGAATATATAATATATAAGACTTTTCCTAAGGGATCGGGTTCGAATATCACCAATAACCATTGGCGAAATGGTGTTTTGGAAATTTTTAACACTTGTGGTCCAGCAATTTAGAAAAAAACTACGTTTTAAGTCTCCAATATTTTCTATATTGGTGTAATTTCTTCACTAAAACATTCTAAAACTATGGACTTATTAACATTTTAAAACATTAAGTGCAACTATAGTTATCAATTCCACACACCCCGTGAGGGTAAGCTGTTAAAATCCCATGTAGAAACAAGTGAACCGTGCAAGGAGGTTTTATAACAAGTATGACAGCGGATGTAGTGTCAAAATCTAAGTGAGGAAGTTTAATTGGATTTAGCATTGTTCCAGAGAGTGTCACTTGAGTTGTAAATCTCCAGCCAGAGTTATCATCAAACGCCACTCCTCTCTCTCCTCCCAACCTTCCTTAACCCCTCCAGATCCCTTACAATTATCACTGCTTACTGATTAGCCCGGTCTTTGTCACTGTGCTCACTAAATGCATTACTATAAACTGTAACATAATTTTAAGCAGGTTAACATTAAAAGTAGGTTTTTACTTAGTTGTTTTTGTGAATGCAATTTTTGTTTAGTTTTAAGAAAAGCTAAAATTTTAAATTGTAATCCAGACATATTTGATAATCTATTCATAAAAAAATTGGTGTTGTTATCAATTCCCTACCAGTTTAAACCAGTAACAATAAGACTCAATAAGACTCAATAAGAATTTATTAATGCCATTAAACTTAGTACAGTAATAGGCAACGTCAAACAGTACAACAAATAGGGTTGTATGTAGCATTTTTGAGTGTTTCAACTTAGATACTACTTTATCCACATGACATTGATGGCTTAACTTACAAGTTTAAAAAATCTTCTACAGTGTAAAAGGCATTTGTTTTTAAGAATGACATTACATATGATTTAAAATTGTTTACAGACAGAGTTCTAATTTCTAATGGTAACTTATTGAACAATAGATACTGTTGATAATGGTAACTTTTGAAGGTTTTACTTAATCTAATATAAGGTGTAACAATATTGTGCTTAGTTCTAGTGTTGTGATGATGATTGCTGTGCTGC